AGATACAAGTTTGCATAAAAATTTAATAGCTTATTGATTTCTTAGAAATAATCTGTAGAAGTTCAAGACCAGCCTGACCAACATGGTGAAACCCCATCTCTACTAAAAATACAAAAAATTAGCTGGCAACAGTGATGGACACCTGTAATCCCAGCTACTCAGGAGGCTGAGGCAGGAGAATCGCTTGAAACTGAGAGGTGGACGTTGCAATGAGCTGAGATCGTGCTGCTGCACTCAGCCTGGCGACAGAGCGAGACTCCACCAAAAAAAACAAAAAAAAAACAAAAAAAAACAGCCTGGCGTGGTGGCATGTGCCTGTAGTCCCAGCTACCCGAGAGGCTGACGTGCAAGGGTCGCTTGAGCTTGGGAGATCGAGGCTGCAGTGAGCCATGATTGTGCACCACTGCACTGCAGCCTGGACGACAGAGCAAGACCCTATCTGAAAAAAAAAAAAAAAAAAGAATTACAGCATATTTAGAAGGGGTGATCTCAAAATGATGCAATGCTGGGCAATGATTTGTAGGTGAGTTATTGGAAGAGAATAGGTAGTCCTGAAATCAATGCTAATACATGATATAGGAATTTTCATAAGCAACTGGGGAAAGTATGAATGATTTCATATGGTATGAAGAAACTGGCTAGTGATAAAGCCTGTTCTTCACTTTATAGCATAAGAAATCTTGGAGTACATAGCTATATATGCCATATATAGTTAATATCACAAATATATGGTATAAATAGCATATGGAAAGAAAACTAGACCAAGAAACAAGTCAAATAAGAAAAGAAAGTTATAAAAAGAATAAGAAATGCCATGTTAATGATGATGGCTTGATCCCTTTGAACACTTATACACTTATCCCTTAAAACAGTCTACTAAAATGAAAGGAAAAAATGTAAAATATGAGAAATCTCAAATTTTTATGAGATACATCGAGTAGACAGAATAGCAGTCATTGATGAAAGTAAGGTGAAACAAACCAAATCCCAGAGAACAAGCCGAGGAGCAAGCCAATCTGTCCTGAAGATGCTTGGTGGCCAGAAATGTCGGTACAGGGAGGTGTAGACAGAAATATGGTGCTTAAAACAAGAGGAAAAATGGAAAAAGTTTTATATCAACAGGCACCCCCCAACCGCCTCCTTAATTACAATAGGCAGACCACTCTGTACCAGCAGTCCAGGCCCCAGACCAAAAGCCTGAGACGTTCTCTAAGGTACCCCTGGAGAAAAGACCCCAGAGTTTTGTGTTTGGCGATTGCCCTGCGGACCAGCTAGCTCCATGCCTGAGCGAGTGATCACCCACAGTGGGGCCGGTACCTTGGCCAGCACTGCCTACATACTCAGGGGCCGAGCCAAATTCTGCTGTCTCATTCTCAGATAGGAAGGCATTACCAAGCCTTACCAGATAGTTGTCACAAAAATGTAAATATTATTTATTGATTTTCAATTTTAGAGTCAAACTGCAGCCAAAAGAAAAGTGAGATGTGATTACACATCAGAATGTGTATAGTATTGACCTTAACAAAGTAAAAGTACACAATGTCTGTGATGGTGCTTTGAGATGCATAAAAAAAATGAGATGTCTGATGTGTGGATAGATGTGTGAATAGGTGGGTGGATGGATAGGTGGATAGATGGGTGGACAGATGGTTGGATGGATGGTTGGATAAATGGTTGGATGGATGGGTGGATAGATGGGTGGATAGAAGGGTAGATGGATGGGTAGCTGGATGGGTGGATGGATGGGTGGATAGATGGGTGGATAGAAGGGTAGATGGATGGGTAGATGGATGGGTGGATGGATGGGTGGATAGATGGGTGGATAGAAGGGTAGATGGATGGGTAGATGGATGGGTGGATGGATGGGTGGATGGATGGGTAGATGGATGGGTAGATGGATGGGTGGATGGATGGGTGGATAGATGGGTTGGATGGATGGTTGAATAAATGGGTGGATGGATGGATGGATAGATGGGTGGATAGAAGGGTAGATGGATGGGTAGATGGATGGGTGGATGGATGGGTGGATAGAAGGGTAGATGGATGGGTGGATGGATGGGTGGATGGATGGGTAGATGGATGGGTGGATAGATGGGTGGATAGATGAGTAGATGGATGGGTGGATGGATGGGTGGATAGATGGGTGGATAGTTGGCGGATAAGTGTGTGGACAGATGGGCGGATATGTGTTAAAGCAAGTATAGTAAAACGTTAAACATGGAATCTAGAGGATTGTACATGGGTGTTCACTA